AACCAAACTGCATAACTGGTACGCTGCATCAGCGCTGGTCAGGCGAAAGAGCAGGCGATGAATCAGCTGATGGAGGCTCAAACAGCTGAGCTTTGTGGGTCGAGTCGTTTGCTGGTTTTGGACGATAGGCTGGTGTACTTGCATCCGGACAAGCTCTGCAAGCCGTATCCCATGCCCTGCCCCACTCACTGCTGTTCGCGGATGACGAAAATCCGTTCGCGCAATAATAGCCTAAAGTGCACGCGGTCTTGCAGGAGCTCGCCAAGATTGAAATCCAAAATAAGCTGTTAGCCGGAGGAGTGCAAGTTCAACCAGAAGGAGGTCAATCAGTTTCATGAAGTGGAGGGCCTGGGACAGCCTTTCGCATGCTGAGTTTACCGGGGTGTGCACACGTTTCAGGGCACTGGGACCTCAACTTACAGGCTGATGTGCTCGTTCAGGAAGCCATGCACATGCTCGATCTGGAACTTTGGTTTCTCTGGTTTGAGGGCTTGGGTGAGAAAGCCGTCGGTTTGAAGGACATGTGAAGAGCCACACTACGACATACGACCCACTTCGGGTTTAGAAGTTTGGGATTTGCGGGGGCTTGGGATGAAGCAGTCACGAGGGTTTGTGGAATCACACGAGACTAAATTGCCCCTGGCAGCACGACTTGGCTTTTTCTCTGCCCCTTCCGGCACATCAGAGAGTCCAGCTTCCAAAGGCGTTTAATAATTATATTCAGGATGCTCGAGTCATGGCTTGATTGCATCTGCCGCTGCCCTTCCCACATCAAAAGCTTTAAGCTGACGTAGGCGGCATGCGACATGCAACTATCCGTGGCAGGTTTCCGGCTTGTTCGATTCCTCCGGCTGCGAATGCCCGCTCTTAAAGATTATAGGTTTTACTCTAAATCTGTTTCCGGACGCAGGCTGCGACAAACCTGCAGACTAGTCTGGATCCTTCGGCCGAGCCATGCGGCCTGCATTCTGCGGCCTTTGGCGCAGGGCCCACCGCACGGTGCCATGTTTCTAGGGCTGCCAGGGGTGATTGTTCCTTGGTCAGAGGGAGGGCCCGTTAGTTTGATCCGTTTTTTCGTGCTTGCACGGCCATTTACATTTACGAATCACTTCCTGGCTGTCAGAGGGGCCAGGAATGCCAGCCCGGAAACGGAGACCAGTCAAACTCGCGCTTCCACTCTTAGTCTTGCCGTCACACCTGAAACCCAGCTCTACTGAGATGAACAGAGAGCGAAAGGTGAGTTTGTGAATTTGCACATTCAAGCTGCATGTTCTTTATCGATAGCGGGCATGGGGACCATCCCGGGCCTTAACTCTATCAGCCCTGAATCACTTGATCAAAGAGGTGACTGTCCGGCCAGCTGCGACGTTCTCCACTGTTGCAGGTCGGATACGAGCAGGGTTCAGGGTTTGGGGTTGTTGTAGGACGTAGACGTAGAGTCTGCGCTCAGTCTTTGCTCAAATCTTGGGCTTCAGGAGTTTCGGGCAGAGGCTTAGGGATTTAGGGCTTGAGTGCATATATTCAACTCTAGCAAGACGGAACAAGAGACGAACACGAATACAGGGCCCAGAACAACCATTGCTGCGGGCTGACCCTGCGAATGAAAGGTCTCCGATCTGGACCAAGACTTCCGCAGACCTGTGCCCATGCCTGAGACGATGTGCTTAAGTGCAGGCAGCATCAATTCAGATGGCCGCTTTGTGGCTAATTGCCACTGATTTGCCTATACGACACAGCAGCGAATTTTCAGATGCCAAGAATGCTGAGGAAGTTCGCCACCAGCACACACGTTGAGCAAGACCACCGACAGTACGCTTGCCTCAAACGCTTCAGTCCTACAACAGCCGACAAAAAAAAAAAACATGCTTGCATAATTAATTCCGTTAGCCTGCTCGGACGCAAAGCTCCTGAACTCCTTTTACTGCAGACCTCCGGGTCCTTGTTGGTGTGTTTGGCCCGGCAGAAGAGTAGCTGAGTAGCTGCTGTTTCTGGAAGCCCGAAAGGCTTGTACAGTCAATTCCGCAGTTCTCGAACCCGCCATCCCCACACTATGAACCCGCGAGCCCTTGACAACCCAAATAGATTCTGAAAATCAGCTGTGGGCCGAGCTGTGTAAGTCTCCAAATGGCTCTTCGAAACGTTACCGCGGAGGCCTCGCCTGCTTTTCTTCTGCGAGGCCCCCGTCTTTTTCTTGCTGGGCTCGCCGTCACGTGTTTGTTTCGACTGCAGAAACTCTGCGTTGCGGAGGCTCTGTGTATACTGTATACTAGCGGTACTTTCGATTACACACATGCACGCATGCATGCAACCAGGCAACAACACAGGCATGCGTGCATACATGCAGCTTGTTCGAATGAATATGGTGCATCCACTACCGCATACACTTTTAGGGCTCAGTAATTTTTGGGCTGCCGGACCCAGAGCCGTGAGCAGATGCCGGAGTTCCGCGGGGCTGAGAGCATGCTGCGTTGGGGATTACAGGAGTCTGGGGCCGCAGTACATCGTGCCGCCAGCATCTATAACTCCAACAGTAATAGCAATGTCCGAAGTGTTTTATTTGCTGGAGTAGCAAAGGATAGAGGAAATCATAACCTGCCAAGCAGTGGAATTTAGCTGAGTTCTGGCACTCCTCGTAGCCGCGTAGAGTTCAGGAAACTGCAGGCCTTTCAAGATAATAAGGGCAGCCCCTGGCCTCTCAGATTACGTGGCTCGATTTCTTCAAACCTGAGCCGTGACCGCACCACTGACGCTGCCAGTGCGATCCATTGCCGACGACGTGCTGCAGAAGCGCTTGCAGAGCTTTCAGGACCTTCATGGATAGATGGTGTGCGGACGGGATTCGTGGTGTGGGGCCATCCGAGTTCGGTAAACATAAACGCACATGGGCCGGTGGTGCATGTCGTGCGTGAGCTGGAAACTGCAAATATAAGTGCATTTCCAGACTTGCATATATATGGGTAAAACAGATAAGTCATAAGCACTGTGCTTCTTAAGGCTCCTCTCTCTCTCACTATACCCACCCATGTTAGGCTGCGCTAGCTTTGGATTTGCATGGCAGGACTTGTTTGCCGAAGCCCGCCTCTGCCGCACGTCGGCACTCAAGCGGAGTTCTCGAAGTTGGCATGCAAGTATTTGAGATTCCTTATGTAACTTATATGTATAAGAAAGTACTTTGTTTATCCGGTGGTTCAGGTAGCGCTTGTTGCCTTCGTACGGCCTGTGTCTTCTTGTATTGTAGCATGGCAGTATGAACTTGCTGTCAAGCTTACCTTCTTACTTGCACGCCCCGCAACTGTCAAGGGAGTTAAGCTGGAAGCCACTTCACAGGATTCCAGACTGCAAGCCAACACGGCAGCAACACAGCAACCCGATCATGACATGAAGGCGTCTTGATGTTCCTTGCGGTGACTCTGGCAGCAGCCACGTGGAACCTGTTACTGCGTGTTACTTAATGGACCGTTACCGTGAATGTCTGCTTGCGGCACTGTATGACAGTTGCACTATCGGAAAATGTTCACAGCTCAGGCTTGGATGATGCCCGGGAGTGGCCTGTCTGCGCTTGATTAATAGACTTGGAGTGAGGGCTGAAGGAAGTCGACCATCAAATGTGACATAGGCTTCTGCATTGGCACGACATGGCGGCTGTCTTCCTTTATGCTCCCTGAGCACCGATATCCGCGATCCCACAAAATCGTTGCAAATTATGCAAGTCCGGTGGTAGCCATGCTCAACTCAGCGGGTGGCCATGCGGATATTCCTTTTCCGCTTGGCGCAATCCGCTTGACATAGTAGGACAGCCGTCAACCCGGAGCACAGGACCCAAGAGCCTCATTTGAGAAGCCTGCAGAGCCAGCTCCAGTGTGCTACGGCTGCCGCTGGGGGAATCCGAACAAACATCGTTCCCTGAGCATGGCTTGTTCTCCTATCCTGTCTCGTCCGCTCTCTATTTCTCCCTGCTTCCCTTTTCCCTTCCTGAATTCACATCACCCAGAAGAGGCATAGCCCAAGAGGTGACGAAGGACAGGTGCAAGTCAGACGTGCAGACTGTTGATGATGAGTCCAAGCTCTTTGTTTTCTGGTTCGCGCACATATGATGTAAACATATGGAAACCACTTTTGCATTTCAGGTTCGAGGTTGTAGGCTTTGAGTCAGGCTGAACCTGTCGCGCGGGAGGCGAGAAGCGTGTCGAACGCGGGTTGGAAATTGTGACTGTTCGCATCCTTGTAATACTACACTATACATCCCAAAGGCCCCCGAATTCTGTGTATGTATTACGTACAGATGTACTCTTTGGAGCCTTCGTTTATTTCTGTTGTTGGGGTTTATGGGAGGAGTGGGAGTGGATTTCGCGCTGCAAGGTCGGAAGGCACGACCTACTTCAAGGCATGACGGCGCAAGGGTGAGAGATGAAACGCATTTAGGGTTTATGGTTGAAGGCTTTTGGGCTTTGGGAAGCAAGTTCGACGCGTGGATTGCACTGGTGCTTCAACTGTCGTAGGTGCTGTCGCGGTGAGTAGCAATGCATAGGCATAGCCATCTAAGCAGGTATAGCCAGCACACGCTACAGCAGGATGAACAAATGCACAGTACTAAAAGGGACAATGCTCACGACAACTCCATCGCCTGTCTCTGGAAGAAACCGGTGGTTGCAAAATCTAGGCATGAAGAGTTAGATTCGACAGTCTTTTCGTCCAGTGCTTTAATGCTTTGCTGTGCTGGGAGTCTGCAAGCCTCGATAGTTAAGCACGGTTTCGTGCAGCCATCAGTGTCAATGGACCGCTTTCGGGCACTCGTGATCGGCAGCCGCTGCACCGTAACCCATGGCTGCGTGTTCCGAGAAGCATGACTGCCCACAGTCCGTCCGAGCTCCCGCAGCGAAACTCGAAATATCCGTTATAAATTCTACATAGAACTCATAGAACCCCCATAGAACCTTAGAAACCTAAACCCTAAACCCTAAACCCTCATAGGGTCCTAGATACCTAAGCACCAAGTGCAGGACGACATCAAAGAGGCCGAAGAAGCCGTGGACAATGCCACCAAGGCCTACGAGGCCTCGCTTTCAGGGCCGGGGAGTCTCCAGCTCCGGGCCTGGAGTGCCCAAAAGCCCCAAACTCCCTAAACTATATATATATATATACACACACATAATATATATATATATATATATATGTGTGTGTGTGTGTGTATATGTATAAGCCAGGCGTCATTTCTGCTATCGGCCTGCCGCTTGAAGAGCAGATCGCTTTAGGTCTTGATTTTGGACTGGATGCCTTGATACATTGGTTTAGTATGGTGGGTTCAGGGGCACTCGAAGATGTCTATGATGCCTGTTTCTGGTTTGCTGGAGTGAGGTCAGAACAGGAAGATTGTGAAGAATGTTCTGAAACGAACCCCGCCTGTATTCCGATCATACCAGCAGGGTTTGTTCACGTCGGGACATCCGGACGTTCTTGGACTCCCTCCTGAACCTAATCTCCGGCTGTGGACCTTAAAGCACCGGTTGTCATCGTACCAAGACCCTCTTCTGGCCAACCCTGGGTTTGGGAGTGTAAGACTGGGGCCTCACCACAAAGGACCTCCTCTCCGAGCTCGACGAGGGTCGCCTCTTTGTTGCATGCCTGTGGCCCTCGTTCACCGGCTGGCTTGATGTGCTGTCAAAGCTGCTTATGTAGTGAATCTATTGTTGCACATGACTCGGTGATTCGGGTTGTGTGAATGTAAGCCTCGTTTGGAAAGCCCGTTTTCGCATTTGCACTGTCAGATTCGCCTTGAGCGTCACAGCTGCAAGCATGACTGTGATTGTTCGAATCTTTGTGCTAAGTGTGCATATGTTGTAAATTGCGAACTGGTCGTTTGCACTCATTGTACTCTTGCTGTTTGTTATGGCTGAAGTCGTCGTCGTGGTCGTCGTATTGTTTGTGTGGGTGGGTGGGTGGGTGGGTGGGTGGGTGGGTGGGTGGGTGGGTGGGTGTCAGGGTCACAGGCTGGTGTTGAGTTGCATGTTGTCATCGCCGTCGTTGCCGTTGTCGTTGCTCCTGCTGTTGTTGCTCTGAGGTTTAGGGTTTAGGGCTATTTTCGTCGTTCTTGTGGACACCAGCACCTCGCCCCCGGTAATATCAGAAGTGTGTCAGCCCCCCTGCGACTTTCCACCTCATTCGTGCGTTATCACCTTCAGTACCCTGACACGAAACGGCAGAGCCAATGTGTCTATTGGCATCGGCTCAGGAAAGCGGGAGTTCGAGGATGCGAACAGCTTGAAGGTCAAGTCCCTAAAAGAAGAGATACTCGGACTGACAACTTTTGCTGCTCTGTTTCAGACTTGGGCATGTGACCCTTCGCTTCTGTGGGGGTTTCGTGTGAATTGGATTGAATTGGCAGGTTTGGTTGAAAAGCAAGTGGCGTCGGCGTCTCCTTTGAATTGCGGCACGCAGGTTCCCGCAGGAAGCACTTCCCAGTCAGTGAATGTGCCGGTTCGGCCTCAACGCGAGTAGCGGGTAGCGCAGAGGTAGGCTCACTCCCGTGGGGCACTCGCAGGACTAGGGTGCCGCAAGGGAGTTCCTGCTTTCGGCGGCAGCTTCATTTTATCATATGTATCTCTGTCGTATGTTTTGCCGAGGTGACGTCCACCAAGACGGCCATACTCCTTGTAGCTGGACTGGTGCAAAACCTCCCTCAGCTGTGATAAGCTCTTCCAAGCGGTGAACCCTAAACCCTAAAACTGCTCAGGTATGCCCAGCTGCTGGCCGAAGACCATTGAGCTCAAGTTGGCCAAGGAGTGAGTCTGCGAGCGAAGCGAAGGAAGTCCTGAGGAGCCCCGTCCTGGAGTCGAAGACTCGAAGATATCTGAAGCTCCTAGTCCTAGCTGTCATCTTTTATGCTTCATGCTTACTGATATGGCTCCTATGTTTGGGGCTGCTAGTGTTGAAATGCATTGATGCAGATGTTTCGCAAGCTCCTTTGGATGCTGATGCACTCCCAAACCCACCAGACCCACAGAAGGTGGACGCTTGCTTTCCCAAGGAGCACTGAGAGGCGAGGGTTGGTTAGACCCTAAACCCTATACCCCCAAGCTCGTCCTTGCTAAGTAGGAGGCAAAAGAAGCCCCTAAACCCTAAACCCTAGAGACAGAGCATTTGCTGGCAGAGCCTTAGATGTTAAATGCACCAGCGGGCTTGCGCTGGGAAATGTGTAGAGTTTTCAGGGCTTCGCCCCCCTGTGGCATGCCACTTTCGTAAAGTCCGGTATGCCTTGGTGACATTCTGAAAAGCTCGGCAACAGCAAAGAAATGCAGTTAGAAGTTTGAGTTCAAGTCTCCAAACCTGCAGTCTGCGAGTGCAAAATTTCTAGATACGTCAGCTTTAGCTTTGTATTCGAGTATCGGTTTCTGATTGCCCGAAGTGCCTCAAGCCTTCGGGCCTTATGTGTTAATTCCGACTGACTAATTCCCTCAATCCTGCGGGACGTCAAATTAAACTCCCACAGCCCACAACCTTGTTGGTTTTGGAACCAGAAAACAGTGACATCTTTGTGCACAAGCATTCAGACCCAGAGCCTGAAACCGCCGCCCATCCCCAAACCCCAAGAAACGCGAAGCTTCAGTCGCCGAGCCCCGAGCCCACCAGCGCCACGAAGCTACTTCAACAGACTCCAGAGTAGCCACTTCTGGGCTCTACAAGGCAGGAGGATTTGGTTTTGCAGCGGGCTGATATGTCCTTTCGATTTTCTGCCGCACGGAAAAAAAACGCCTCAGATTTGGATGGGGCTCAGACTTTGGACCAGTCGGTTGCTCCTGCACCATCTAGAGCCAAATTGCGCACTCGGAAGTTATTCTCAGCAGCTACTCCTTCATGGGTTTGTTCTAGCAGCTGCCTTCTGCCGAGGTGTTCCACCATTGGTACCACATCGATGACGAGGGTGAGGCACGGGACGAGCTTCAGCTTGCCCCAGACAAGAGCGAGAAGAAACATATATACATAGTATATACGATATGGTGTGTCACATGTTGCACCATATATTCTATCAGTGTCAGAGGACTGAGTTTGCTGCCGTAAAGCTGGAGGGGCAAGTGGTTGCTGTTCAGATGCAACACTGCGCAGGTAGCTTCCGAAGTGATTGCAACTTATGCTGAGCCCGCCAGCCCCAACGCCTTGCCTCAAGCCCTGACGACCAGGAACCGCGACCCCCTGTGAAACAACCTGAAGCCTGTAATTCTTAAGCCTTAAGTCTTGTAAGAAAACCCTAGTGTAACCGTAAACCCACGAATTCCCACATCCCTGAACCTGAAGTCCTGTCCGGGACCCGGACCCGATAGGCTGACGAACGAAGAATGGAAGACGACGACCCAAATGCAGGCCAAGGGTTCAGGGGTCCATGGGTCATGCCCATGGTAGGAAGCATTTGTTATGGGACCAATATGAGACCTGTTGTGCGCTGCCTGATTCTGCAAGGTGGTGTAGATGTATTTATACGTAAACATAACTATACTGACGCTATTTCGGTGCTTATTCTCATGTTATATGCATTATAGATGTGGCGATGTATCTTTACATGCTGAACTTGGGAGAACATACAAAGGTGTGTGGGCAATGTCAGCTTCCAAATACTGTCTCGTGGTAGGTATTGCTCTACTTCCTTCCCCCTTTTTATTACACCCCCCCCCCCCTAATAATCAAAACACACTGGACCCAATCCTCCCGAAATCATCCCTGCCCTTTAAAACCGAATTATTCTGAGTTAGGGGGGTAGAGTTAAAGGTTGAGGGTTTAGGGTGAGCCTCCCTGGTTGACAGCTGTCGGTCTTTTCTCAGCTGCGACGGCCTGTCTGCAGCTCGGTCTGTGGGCGTGGCTGTCCGAAGCCTGCCTCACACTTTCATAAATTTGCGGGCCTGACTGCCTGTGTGTCTGAAAAGACTACTTAGTAAAAGTGTTTGTGTGCCTGTGAGTTTGAGTCTGACTCTGACTGTGAGAGTGAGTGTGTGTGTGTGTGTGTGAGCACACAGGCCCTCTTTGGCCACTCGTGCTACATTACCACCATCGCAGAATGGGCGGTAGTTCTTCATGTGAAGACCAGCCCAGAGACGACAAGACTGTTCTCAGGTTTTTGTTGTTAGGATCTGGACCACCTGTAAGCTGCTGAGACTCACAGGAGAAGCTGAGTTCACGTGCAATTAGTGCATGCTTCTACCACAACCATCTGAAAGCCACCCCTGTTCAAGGTTTGCCAAGAGAGACCGTCCGCAGAGTTGTGCGCCAGACGGGGATGCACGGGCCCTAGTCGTTGCATCCTGGGTGATTGACCGCAGCAGATTCCAAAGCAGGACAGGCTATATCTGGGCATTCATTTATTGTGTAGATAAGTGGCCTTGATTCGCTGAAAGCTGTCGGAGTGCAGTCAGGTGCTGGTATTCCATACAGTCCTTTGTGGTTGCAGTGCATGCTAGAAGGTTACGGAGAGTATAACGTCCGATAGTGATCCCAGGTGGTATTTGACTATGGCGCATTTTCACCCATCTCTACCTCACTGTTTGACATTTTCTTTCTGAAGCTTGTGGGGCTCGCAACGATGTGGCTACCATGAGGATGAAGAATCAAACGAGACGGGAGGTGTGGGGCTCCTTTTGCTGAATGGTGGCCTAGCCCCGCAACCCGAGATGCAATTAGCCAGGTCGTTCACGCCCGAGAAGAAGGAGATCTTGGACAAGCGCCTGGATGGTTTGGAGGAGGACCCGTTAGATACGGTTTGGTGACGATGCCAAACTGGACATCTTGAGAATGCGCTTATCTATTCGATATGTATCAGTGTGTCTAAATTCTAGCCGCCAGTTCTTGTGCTTTGTTGTTTATGCTTGCTGGTCCAAGAGCTAGGAGCCCCTACCATGCAGCTACAGGCAATAGCAACGGTTCTGGTAAAGCAGTAGTACTTTAGTTAAGGCATGCTCAGCTATGCCTGGGCGGCGATGAGCAGTGTCTTGTTCTCAAAGGGGGCTGTGATAAGGAGCATGAAAGTCTTGAAAGCTTGTAGTGCTTTGTCTTCCCATGTTCTAGGGTTGGTGGCAGGTCCGGGTGAAGTTCAGTTGCAGCTGATCTTAGGGCTCATTTCCTCATGCATGCTCGGAGGGAAAGGTGGTCGATGGTAATAGCGACTTAATGCTCCACGGATTTCCGTACGACCTAACAGCCCTGACGCTTCCTCAACCCTCAACCTCAACCTCGCAAGACAACTCAAACAGGCTTCAGGGTCTGGAGGCGCCATTGACGGCATCTACTGTAGGGTAACCGGGGATCAGGCTGCAGTTGTTTGGCATACGAAGATTCCGAATCCACGGAAACCTCTCTATCATAAAAGCCAGGGTGCTCGTCGCACGCAGGCGGGCCTTCTGCGCTTCCATGGTTTCCTCCGACTGATGCGTTGGGTCGCACGGGCCCCAGACCACTAACAACCATTCACAATTCTGATAAGAATGAGACTGGGCGAGACTGTTAAGTCAAGCATAGTGAGGCTTGCTCTCTGTCAGTCGTCATCGCCATCATCGCCACCAGCAGCATCATGACTCATAGCGGCAGACACAATACTGAATGGAACAAATACAAAGAGAAATCAGCAAGTTGGGGGGGGGTCGTTTTCATGAGTCCGGTAAGAAGTTGATGCATGGACAAACGCTCACCTGCAGCTCGGGTTATAGAAGCCCAACCTCAACCTTGGAGACCAGATGACCCTTTTTCCATGAATCCCTATATAGTCTATTATAGTACATGAACCACAACCTTAAGGAAACCCCGTGCCTGTGTCTTTGGCTTACTACGGGGATCTTGGACGAGCAGTTAGCTGCTTAAGCGGAGTTCTACGCCAAAGTCCCACGCCGAAGTAGGTAGACTTTGGTTGTAGTAGGGACATTGACAAGTAGATTAAGGTCTCGGGAAGTATGACTCGCTATAGCTTACAGCTTACAACTCTTAAACAGGGAACTGTAAGGAACAATATGTAGTCCCTCAGGCTTCTACAGACAGTAGAGCGTTGGGATTTCAATGCTTGCTTGCCTAAGCTATCCTAGGCTGTGGGTTCCGAGGGGCTCGGGGTTGCGCCGGGTGGTGGAGGAATTCTGAAGCAGAAGAGCAGGGCTGGCTGGAGAGTTCGGGTTTCAAAAGGTTTAGTGTTTAGGGTTTAGGGTTTTGAATGTTTAGAGTTGAACTTCTGTAGGCTCAGACATTCAGGCGATTGCACAAGTCCTGATGCAAAAGAGTTTAGAGTTTAGAGTTTAGGGTTTTGTGTAGACTGTGCAGGGCATGACGCAGGCTTCATGCCCAGAACGCACCATCACTCGCCTGCACGTGCCCTCTCGGTGCTTTGCACGAGAGCCGACGCACTGGAAGACCATGGGAAAGCTCAAGCCTTGAAGCTCATGGAGCCGTTTACCGAAACATTTTTGCAAGATTACAAGTCTTGGGTTCAGAAGGTCCGGTTGGGGTCTGGGTAAGATATTGGATCGATTCGTTGAGCCCTTGATGCTGCCGTTTGCCCACCTGCCCTCAGATCGACAGCGACTTCGCCGAAATGAATGCGCAGCTTGCGGAGTGAAGGTGCAACCCTTTAGAGCGCCTCAGCAGGGACTCGATGCTGCTCCGCTGGATCCAGACAGTTTCCGTAGCGGGTGTTTGCCTCGCCATGCCATGGGCCATGGGGCAGTTTCTGTGATTCCTAATCGAGTGCCACGACAGCACCTTGGCATACCCTGGTACATAAACAGGTTGCAGTACCCTATAGGCCCTACCTTATACTACCAGAACCTACTTTCTTGTGGGTTTCTATTCAGGACCGAATTTGTAGGGACGCTACCTCGGTTTTGTAGTTCAAGGTAAACCCCAAGCCGGATAGACGGGAGACTCCGCCCCTGTTTTGATCCCGTCGGTCCTCCTTGCTAATCCTCGGAGTACTCGCCTTTTTTTTGTCATGACAAAACCTACAAGTCATAGTTATAGCCTACCTTAGCATGTTATAAAGTGAAATATAGAATCTTATAGCAAATCTATGACATGCAATATCATAGTATGTTAATTAGGGCAGATTACAGCATATTATCGCAGATTATAGTATACAATATCAATGTACTTTACAGCATGTGACGATATATTGTGGCTGATCATCCATGGGAAGCCCACGCCCATGTAAAGCTCAACTGCACAGCGAACGCCATGCCTTACACCCTGACAACGCATTCTGTCTACGTGCCCGGAGCGTTTGACATCTTTGTTGATGGTTTTGTTGTTATTACTCCACTCTGTACCTGTGCAGCACTCGTAGAATATACGCGGCAGCAACTGGCCAGGTGACGAGTCTGACAGTTTCACTGCGTGAGCTACCGTCATTAGCGCTTGTGCAGGCAGTAACTAGGGTTTGTAGGGTTTAGCAGGGTCTGGTACACTTTCCGAAAGAATTCATATTTAGAGAATGGCTGCAGGCTCTTTGCCATGGTATCGCAGCAAGCTCTAGCCCTAGTCCCCCATGTGGGCCTACAGAAGCTTGACTGGCCTTAGACTGTTTGCCAACGTTAGCCGAGCCCAAGTCCAACATCGCACCCGTTCATCTTATCCATTGATGCTCTTCCCCATGTTCCCCCTAAGCCCGAAACCCTACATTATTCAGCAAGAATTCTCGAGGCCTCCCCGGAAGGATTGCCAAAGGCAATCCGAGTTGTGCAAAGTCGTCGCTGGAGAGCTGCAGCGTGCAGGTCCCCTGGGGAGCTTCGGGAAAAGGAGCTTACTTCTCTTCCTTCGCTGTGGGGTACATGATTTTTTTTTTGTGTATGTTATTGTTTTGGCCTTGGAGGGGTACCTATATAGGTACAACGAGGGTAGCTGGACCCTTGCGGTTACGATCACACTATTTCGACTATTTCTGATTTCTGGTGTAGGTGATGGGGCAGTGAGTGTTTTTGAGGCCTGCGCAGTTCCCGGCTTCTAGCATCAGGGAAAAGAACCATCCTTAAGATCCAACCCAGGAACAACTGGAGGTGTAGGGCTGTTCTCGTTTTGATTGTTATCGGAGCTCTTCGCTTCAGTTCAAGTCCCGCTTGCATTACTGTCTCGTACTGTGTTACTATATTCTATTCAGTGGTCACGTCGCTGTTGTGCTACCAGATTCCGTGCTACTGCAAGGCAGATATTTAGGAGCAGGCCAGTGTTCTCTGTGACTTTCCCGTTCGGGCACTGCATTGACCGCCACTGTAGATCCTACCAGAGTGCCTCCCTTGACCCTTCTTTGCAGAGGCAGGCAGGCAGGCAGGAGAGGATTTCGAGACAATAGTGCGCTTTGGTTGGTTGATGGCTTTTCTTGTTGCTTCGTTGGTTCAAGGGGCCAGGCAGACTCATGGCTTCAAAGCAGCAGACGACAGGCTAAAACGCGAAATGACAATAAATGTTGGATATATGGTTGCACTTTCGTTACAAGACAGTCACGATTGACATGTCTTTTACAGATTCGTCTGCCGGCCCGTCCCAAGGTCGGGTTGGGATTCGATGGGCACTCACAGGAAACGAGTCTGATAATGTAGTTCTTGCACACGGAAGCAATGGCACATCCTGACTACGTAAGAGTAGGCTGCGCAGCCGGCAGGGTAGACTTCCATCCTGCAACCGAGACTCCTTAACCACACAGCCCATTGCACCTCCCGGCTGCGGCAACCAGGTCAGGCACCAAGCTGGAAGTCGACTGTGACCTCGGACATCCCCATGCAAGCCCAAACAAAACAACATGCGCGCGCACACACACACACACACACACGCATGTCTGTCAGAGGTAGAGAGCTTTATCTTACCTGTGCAGACCGTGCAGATACTGTAGTTAGCCCAAACTGGACCCTCATTTCGGAGATCTGTGAGTGGATGCGTGGCTGGGTGGGTGGGTGGATGGATGGATGCACAGGTGGATGGATGCGCCGGTTGATGTGTGGATGTAGGTTTTGTGTACGCAAACGTGTCTCAGAGTGTGCATGTGTCCATGTGTTCATGTACAATGCAAACATGCACAGATTCCAGATACTGTTTCGTGTCTCTCTCTCTCTCTCTGCATCTGCCTGCCTGTCTGCCTACCTGTCTGTTTGTCTGTCTGTCTGTCCGTCCGCCGGTTTATCTGTGCATTTATCTAATTATCTGTCTATATATATATATATATATATCTATCTATCATATACCAGTCTATCCGTCTGTCTACCCATCTAGCCTGCTACGTACCCAACTACCTACCAGCCTGCATGCCTGCCTACCTATCTATCATCTTTCTATCCGTCGATGTATATGTACACACACACACACACACATATATATATATATATATATGTAGGACTTGCATGTGATGCAGCCGTTGCATTTCTTTCCTGCAGATTTTTGTCAGGACTTTTGGGGGGAGTTGCTTCTCGGACTAGGTGCTGAGGAGGCTATAAGAAAAATGATCTTCTTATGAGCTTCTAGGGCTTTCGGTTTGGAGCTCGGGCCCCAGGCTCGGCATGTGTGAACTCGTGGCATAGGCTCTGAGCCCCGCTGGTTGCCTTGGTCTCGCTGTTGCAAGGCCCCGGGCCTTTCAACTGCAACTTTAGGTCCGTGATGCAGTCATTTAAGCTGGAAGGCGTGGCTTCGGCAGCTGGAGTTTCCTTGTAAATAGTCAACCCTAAACCGTTGTGACACCATCTCGCGGCTTTAATCTTGCAGGCCATCCTCGATAATCGCTACTGGGTAGCAGCATTGGACCCTCGCGTTTGCCTCTACCCTAAACCCTAAACCCTTCTTGACATGTGAGGGTCAGGAGGGTCTGGGCCTCGAAACCCTGAAGCCTGGAAACCCTAGACCACATATCCTCAAGCCCGCAGAGCACCCAAGAGAACGCAACAACACTCAACAAGAGCTCCCGAACCCAAGGTGCTTCACACACCGAATACCTAAGAGCAAAAGCAGGAGAACCACGGAAAGGAACGAAGAACTCGAGGCCTCAGCACTTCAAGCCCGACTTTCTCAGCCGATGGGCCTTGGCCTCGGTTTTGGACTCTGGCCAGTAGCTGTGGCTGGAAGCGATGTTTCAGGAATAAGTTGTAAGGGCAAGCCGGACGTAGAATTGGGTGGCCGGACTTGACGATAAAGTTCGACGCGAGCGCGAGTCATTTGTTTTTAAATCTGGCTTTCAGGCTAGTGCTGGGGCTGGAAGCTGTCACACAGCTTGCCACGGAAGTCCTGGAGAGCCGAGGGTTGCGAGAGCTGATCCGTGCAATCCAAGTCCTGCACCTCCTGTCCTTACAGTCTTGGAGGCTGTGGGGATCTTCAGAAAACAAGCTATCCAAGCCTGCTTGGTGCTGTTGAGAATTCGTATGCCGGGACTGGACTCCAGTTCCTGTGATCTTGAAGTGAAGCCTTGAACCTTAGGCCCCCCCGC